ACAGCAGTTACAGAAAGAGGCAACAAGATCTTAATATATGTCAATGGGAGACAGAGTCAAATGGAGCTGGAAGAGCCACATGCAAACTTCCTATTGTGAGCCGACTTTTGATAAGCAGAACTGGCACTGCGGGATGAACCGAACGCCGGGTTAAGGCGCCCGATACCGACGCTCATCAGGATATCGGGTTAGCTATGTCCATTTATATATACGGTCTATGATCTATACTTTACTTAAGTACAGTTTGTGTACATTTTAAGTACAGAAGTGGATACTTTTTGCTTCTACTTTACTACATTTCAGAGCAGGTATTCCATATTCTACTGCATTACAATATTGAACAGGACTAATAAGTAAAAGTAGAAGCTAGAAAAAAACTATTGATTCTGTTGTTTCTACTGAACAAAATACAGCACAAATCTTAACAAAATCACTACATTTGAAGCTTTAGGCAGATTTGTTGATTGCCTGTCCTTTTACACAAGCTGATATTAAACGTTTACCTATTGGCTCTTTATAATACTGTGCATTCTTTCACTTAATGTTTTTTTTTTCCTCTTTTTTCTCAACCTCGAGGTGCTGAGTTTTAATAGACTGGCTGCTAATCGTCAAGCACATAACAGGGATTACCAGGCAGCTCCAGCAGAATTAAAGTCAGAGGTTGGCCTATAGATCATGCTGGTTTTTGGCTTTCTTCGTTGGTGGCAAAGCAATAAAGTTAAAATAGGTGCGAGCCGCTGCCATGAAAACAACAAAGCCCCCATCAGCCCCTGCCTTCAAGGTGGAGCCTCCTATAGGTCAAGCGCTGCCATGACTCTCGCCAATATGACAGATTAACGACAACAGGTTGAGCCCTGCACTTTGGGCCGCCCACAATCTCAATTATGTCTGTCTTAATGTACACTGAACAGCCGCCATCGCAGGGCCATGGACAGGGTAAACACACTTGCAGGAAGCAGACTAGTGACAGCATAATAAAGTGCCATGATTGATTCGGGCCTTGCAGTGTGCCAGATCGCTTTATTGTGTGGGAGGAGTGCAGAATGTATAGAGGGTATGAGAGGGGAGTAGATATGATGTTGGATTTTCTTTTGTTGTATTCAATGCTTTATCTAGAATTTTCTATGTTATTAAAGGTACACTGCGTAACTTGTCCACTGGAGAGTCCATCACCATATAGAGACGCCTTTAATTTTTCACAGTATGATGAGCAACAAGCCAATTTACAGATCTGGTTTGTGGAGAGGTGGGCCCACTTACAACAGAATGGGTATTTTTCAAGGTATTGTTTTATAGTAAAAAAAAAAAAAACATCTATGATTAAATAATGAGTAAGTTTAATGCCATACTGTGGTGTATTCCAGTGAAAGCAATCCTCTCAGCATATCTCCATGGACACAACCAAGAGCAGGAGTCTTACCAGAAAAGTTACACAGTGTACCTTTAAGGGATTAAAAAGTGTTACCTTGCTTATATGTCAGCACTCACAAGTTTTTACCTCGAAAAAGGGAGTTAATGCTTAATAATGGGCCCTATAAAAGCAACTAATTGAGCATTCCGGATCTTGCTGAGTTGGGCATCTGCGAGTGACATTGTGCAGCCCCAGGACCTCCACCAGACTGCATTTATTAGCCCTCTGAACTGGGATGTAGGTCGGCCATTAAAAGCAGGAAGGGCCTCTTTCACTAAATATTGTTGTGACAGGCTCATTTTTGACACCCCCAGTTTGTGCGGAGGAGACGCCGTGTGCAGCCCCAAGCACAGCAGCCTTCGAGCAGTTTGGATAATGGATTGCTGCTCAAAAAAGTTAATCCTAGTTTAGAGCGATTTAATTGAGCTCAATAAAATGTAGCCATATGCGCCCCATAAAAATCAACAGCGTTCCATATGAGTGCTAAGTAAACACGCCTCGGATATTAGCGCATGTATAACAAGCCTCATATCCAGAGCTGTGCAATGTAATTTCAGTAATGATTAAAACAAAGCACGCCTTTTCCTCTTGTACACAGTTATTCAAACACTTGGGTGTAGTCAGGACTGACATTTACATAGCCCACAGTCTCAAATGCGTTGCTATTTTAATCTAAATAATTACAGATTTATTGTGTGGTTCTGAAAGAAAGCATTTAACTTGACTTTTACCCTTCTGTTAGGCTTTTCATTATATTTATTTATTATTTGGTTATGACAGAATACAGCTAAACCACCATCAAATGAAATCACCAGACAAAATGGTGAGACATAGAGCTGTAATATTTCAGTAGAGGGCAGCACACCACCATTACAGATTGACTTTTAAATCATATTAATTGCTCTTTTGTGTAGCAGACTGTATCTGCAGTTTGACTGGAGCTTGAAACATACCCCTCTTGTAATGTGCAGTTGCATGCACACCATATACTGTGTGTCTATCAAATCCTTTCTCCATATGCCTCTGTTAACAACCTTCTGTCTGCTACATGCAAATCTGTTAGCTGCGATAATAAAGCTGGCATCCTTGTAATGGACGGAGAGGTCAGGCAGACGCAGCCAGCCTCTCTGAGCATTGGTGGGTTTTACTAAAGTGTCATAAGACATTTGATTGTAAATCTTAGTGACCTTGAAGTCACTGGAGAAAGCACAGATCCGTAAACCAATCATCGCACGGCTGCCCCTGTCAGCCACGCTCCTGTTCACACAGTCACTGCCTGAATTTCCTGATGTTAAACAGAGGGAGAGGGAGGCATAGGCTCTGTAGATGCTCATCACAATAGCACTTTTCAACTTGATCTGAAATTTGGTCAACAGAGGCACTTTTGTGTGTGGACTGTTCTTATTGTATAGCTGAGTATTTCTAAGCACAGGGATACTGCGGTGTTATAGGCTTATCTGACCAAAACTCCGCCTCAGCATTTCTTACTCTACTTCCAACGGCAGCACAAAGATCAGAGTTATTATAGATTTGCAGAAAAATCTGTTTTCTGAATACTAATGTCTTTACATCAGGGCTGAAGAAGAAGACTGCGTGGTATCTGAAATGTTCACCTTCTCTCCCTGTGAGAAAGCTTGAGGGCTTTCTTTGTACACAAAGGTCTATCCTCTTTGACTATTTACCATAAAGAAACTTCACATGGACTTACAAAGCTTTATGCTGGTTGACTAGAACCTGTTGGGAATTGTCACCAATATGGTTATTATTATTATCATCAACATTCACAGCATTTCAGCATTGATGTCAGTGTCTGTTATGTGAGAGCATCTTGATTTTCTTTCATTTCCAGCTTTACTTGAGTCTTCTTGGAGAGAGAACTGCCTGAGGTGATGAGAGGTGTGGACACGTCTGCCCTACAGGCTCTGTTTGCTTGCTCTTGACAAAGAGAAGCAGCTTTGTAGTTTCCTGGAGCATCTAGGGATGGAGATTAGCATGGAGCCATCAGCAACGCTGCAGTCCCTCCCTACCCTGCGTGTGCTGTCAGAGCGCCTCCTCCCTGCTTGTCAGAAGCTCCGACGAAGAGCTGTAAAAACCTTTTCCCCTCTCCTTAACAACTGCAAAACAACACGCACACACCCCAGCCGAGGTGCCTGCTTTTCTGAGGCCTCTGACAGGACGTGCTACAGGCACAAATTGTAATTCATAAAGGTTAAGGGGGTCAATGCCTTTTATTACCAGTCTGAGTGCATCCAGCTTGATGGGGCGGGCATGCAAATGGAATGTCTCAGTGTTGTATGTGGGCTTGGAGACAGGCCGTGCGTGCTCCTGAACCAGAGGAAGTACAGGTGGGTAATGTTCTGCCCAAGCTCCACAGTAGGACCACACAGACGCTGCCCGAGTAATTGGACAGTGTGACAATGACCTCAGGTAGTTAACGGCCACTTTGATATGTGCTCACTGCAATTAATGCATTGTAAATCTTCATGTTTTATTATACGATTAAATCTGACCTATAAGGCTCACTATGTATGACTGCTTGTGCATTCAACACAACAGCCAACTGAAATGTCATGAATAACATTATGTGTATTTCTGCTATTTTATAATGTTTAAATTGGCAAAAAATATGTAATGAGATTTAAAGTGTGCCAGATTACAAAATAAATAAATAAATAATGTATTACTTAAATTTCAACAGTTTCACATTTGAAGCTGCTTCCCTCTGTTTTTCTGCAGTAACTGATTCTGGCAACAAAGAGTATAATCACCTCACGCCCCACTGCTCCCTCTGCTGGATACTTACGGGCATTGCTTTGGTTTTCAGAGTATTATATTCTGCAATTTATTTATATTAATTTTTAATCTGGCAATTAGACAGTTTCAGTTGTGTTCTGGGTGTGATGATATTTAGTCTACTACATTGTTAGTAGTTAGTTTTTAGTAGCAGAAGAGGCCAAAGCAAGGGACCTGCAGGACAGTAGGACAGTTCTCAGAATTAGCCAGTGTGCGGCAGGGACTCTGTACTCATTACCTTTCCATCACAGAGCAGCTGCTGTAGAGTCATTCATCATGATTACAAATCTGGCTGGTGTTGATCCCCTACAGCTCCACCTTCAGCCTGTGGGATGTACTGACGGACCCTGAGCACCACCCCCTATGTGTTATATTCACACCACAACAGGTGACAGAGGTGGACAAGAGCAGAGAGCACAGCTATATCATGAAAGGGGGAAACACATATAACTGAAAAATTACTTCACGTACATTTTTAATTTTAAATATTTTTTCAAGAAAAGTAGGCAGGATCGAAAACACATACACTAAAGCGATTGCTAGGCCTATACTGATAAACTGGGTGTAGGAGGTGTACAGCAAAATATTACATAAAAATATTAGATATATTACTTATATTACCTTGATACTGCTTTTATTTCTCAGTAGATAAATTAAAAGCATAGCATTTGATCAACAACTAATGCAACAGCACCAAATGTATGAAATATATACATAAATTAGCCTACTTCTATTTCTCCCACATTTGCTAGCAACCACTTAGCAATTATAAATTTACTTCACAGGCTGTAAGTTGTAAACTGTCACACTAAATAAAGTTTATCAATTGACCTTTCTTCGTCGTCATCCGGGCGCTTACAGACATCACATAGCGCATGCGCAGTTCGCCTCTGTGGTTCGACCTCTGCAGTCGGTAAGTGCAATGGCAGTTTGAATGAAAGAATTGTATTTACAAATCCTTTCTCATCCGCTCGTTTATCTCCATATTTCATGTCAGCAGTGTTATCAGTGTGTACAGCAGATTTCCGTCTACACACAAATGTCTGTATTTCGTTTGTGGAGCATTTGCACATCGGTTTGACCTCAGTTCTTTTCGGTCTTCTCAGACAGATCCCGGGCTTCAGACTGATTTGACCACAGCGGTACTAACTACCTACACAACAAGATGTATGCCTGCGCAAAGTTTGTCTCCACGCCGGCTTTGGTGAGTTTTTGGGACGTGTATTCCAAGGGTTTTTGCAGGTTGTTGAGTGAATGCGAGTGGGCCTGTGTGAACTTGACTAGCTTCCTGCAAGGGTATCTGCAGAGTAGGCCAGCAGACTAGCCCGCTAAGTAGCTAATGCTAAAATATTCAATGACATGTTCATGGTCATGATGTTCAGCTTTGCAAATACAATGGTGCTGTTCACGTAACCAGCACAGACTCGGGTAATCCTCATGGGCTTGTCTGCTAATTATTAGGAGAGGCAATTTCATTCATTTGTTATGAGCTAGCCAAGGTCAGCATTAGCCATATGAAGCTAACAGTAGCCCATAGCTGAAGTCATTGGGGATGCTGGACATTGGAGATATGCTTTTCTCTAGAGAGGCATGACTGTATATTGTGTGCTAAACTATACTGTGTGTGATGCAGGTCCGTGCTGGATCCCGGGCTCTGTACAGACCCATCTCTGCTTCTGTGCTGTCTCGACCAGATGTCCAAACAGAGGTAAGTCAAGAGCATTTTCTACATGAAAACACCGACTTGAGGATGTGCAGAAAAGCGGCCCCACTGCAATTTTACATTTTTTAAAATATAGGATATTAAAGCCTTTAGAACATTTTTCACTGTTTGCACCTGTCCCCTCTTGCAGAAGAGTGCAGTTGTGCTGCCACAGAGCCCTCTCTCCCAGGTCACACTGAGGAGCTTTCAGACCAGTGCTGTGAGCAGGGACATCGACACCGCAGCCAAGTTTATTGGTGCTGGAGCCGCCACAGTTGGAGTAGCTGGATCTGGAGCTGGTATCGGTACAGTCTTCGGCAGTCTCATTATTGGCTATGCTAGGTTTGTGAAAAGATAAAAAATACAACATTTTAGTTATGCTTTTTATATTTTTTCTAAAATCCTTTTTTTGTTTGTTTGTTTTAGGAACCCATCTTTGAAGCAACAGCTTTTCTCTTATGCCATCCTGGGATTTGCCCTGTCTGAAGCTATGGGACTGTTCTGTTTGATGGTTGCTTTCCTTATCCTGTTTGCAATGTAAAATTATGCTTCCTTTGAATACAGATGTAACTACATATTTTATTGTGGCTACCAATTTGTTCTTTGTTGGTGTCATGAAAATGTACATTTTCAGGTCTTTCAGACACTGTTAAAATAAGCAAACATGTATTGTACAAATGTAAGACATCATGTTATTAAAATACATGTATTTGACTTTTTGACAGTAGCAGCAAGTTTTCTGTTGAACATTCTGCCAGTGGTGCTGCAGTCTTTGGGGCAAGATTTTTCTTAAATCTTGTTCAGCAGAGACTTGTCCTTGATCAGCCTTGTTTCTCCTTTCACCACAGCTTCACCTGCTTGCTTTTTAGGCCCCACTCAAATTCAGTTTCAGTTGCTGTAATTAGGCAGCAGGTTAGTACTTGCTTTTTGTAAATTGCAATAAATCTAGACTATCTAATTAAAGTACACTATTGTTTGAGTTTCCTTTAGAATCTGGATTTTTAAGAATGTGATGTTTATCAATGTTTGTTCTTGTGAAGCAACAAAAAACTAAATACAAGAGTATGTACTTGAGCTGTCAAGGACCAGAAAATTGCTGCTCTGGGACAAATGTGAAACCAAACTTGGAGCTTTTTATAACATGGTAGGAACTACTTTTAAAACGTATCTGTGGCATCCTTTAATGGATGTGGGTGTTACATACAAAACAAAAAAAACCGAATCAAAAAGCGAATGAATGCACCTTAAAAAATTTAGATTTACAGGTTAAAGACTAGAGTATGACGTTTGCGGAAGACTTTAAACACCTCTCGCGAGAAATAGTGCACGGACGTGGGATTTTGGCTTGAAGGGTTGTGGCTGTGGGGTAAGTGTCCACTGAAAGCGAATGGATGCAAAGTAGAAGACAAGTGCACCTTTTCTTAAACCGCAAAGGATATGAGACCAGTATCAGTATAACAACCCTGGAATACATGTTGACATCTCCACTGTTAACAATGCCATTGAGCCACAAACATGGCGACGCCTGTATGTTAACGGAGGGCTCAGGCTAGTCCATGGAAGCGACTGGAACAGAGCATCGCTTTCTGTATCACCTTTGGAATTGTGGTACATTTATGTCATTTAATAGGTTAAACATACAGCTAGCACTTCAGATATTATGGTATGCATGATCCGGATAATTTCATTCAAAAAGAGCTAAAGCAGCGAGCGGCTTTTACGAGGCTACTGATGTAAACAACTACGGCAGCCGCCCATCGCTGCTGTGCTTTGTCTAGATACATCCCGCTACTGCTCATGTTTTATGATCTATAACAGCGCGTCATATTTACAAACACGGTGGCTGTCAGTACATTAAAATGTGGTAAACATAAATAGTCTTTGCAAAACTACAGCTACAACATCAGTAGTTTTTTTTCTTGTTCCTTTTTGCAGGGGTACTTAACAGGAATTCCCTAATATGAGTGATGATAAGCCCTTTTTATGTACTGCTCCTGGATGTGGTCAGGTAAGTATTGGCCGCATACAGCTGCTTTGTTAGATGTGCATAACTAGCTGTTGCCTTTTTGAAAACCTTTTTATTATTATTATTATTATTATTATTATTATTATTATTATTATTATTACACTTTTTTTTATCAGTGGACATGTTTATGACCCAATCTCCATTCTCCTACCTGACAAAGTAGTGTATTTTAAGAAGAAGATGGAAAAAAAAACATAGTTAGAACGTTGTCATGTGAAAACGTCCCTGGTCATATTCCTGTTTGCATTCTAATATGACTCATGACTCATTCCCTAACCCTTTCTTGAATTAGCACCATTTATCAGTGATTAGTTTACTAGAATAAACTATTATAGCAATTGAAAAGGGAATCCTTTAATTATAATTCTATATACATATTCTATGTACTTTTTTTTTTTTTAAGAAGCCCACTGTGAATCTTTGAAGTGTCTAAGATGGGTTCTGACACCTAGGTTGGAACTTACTGATATAAGCCAGGCTAAGTAGAATAAGAAGCTACCATCTGCTACCATACTTTTATCAGTAGATGGTAGATGTGAAACCTGCTTTTGCTTGTCATCTTTTATCATTAAGACTTGTTTAGATTTTTTATTGTTCTGTGTTTTCAGAGATTTACAAATGAGGACCACCTGGCTGTCCACAGACACAAGCATGAGATGACCCTGAAGTTTGGCCCAGCAAGGAATGACAGTGTCATAATTGCTGGTATATATTTTTGTTATTGAATAAGATATTGTTCTACATTTAAATGTTAACATGTGTGACATTCTACAGACCAAACTCCTACTCCAACTCGCTTTTTAAAGAACTGTGAGGAAGTCGGGCTGTTCAATGAACTTGCAAGTCCCTTTGACCATGACTTCAAAAAAGCATCTGAGGAGGACATTAAAAAGGTTGTTATTAATTAATAGTAGTTATTAATTGTATATTCTTGATTATTGTGTTAACTATAATATTTATTGTAGTTACCATTGGATTTGTCACCTCTTGCAACACCTGTTATACGAAACAAAACTGAGGAAACCACAGCTGTTGATGCACATCGAGGCAGCCCCTTGCCACACCCTGAATCTACAACAAGTGATGAAAAGGTATTGGATTGAAAGTGTATGTTTGTGGTCTTTTAAAATGACACAAAAATATGTAATTAAAGTGTATTCTTTAGTAAAGTTGTTGGAATATTCTTGAGCATTTTTATTTCTTCAATTTTGGCTGAATTCTTATTTGCTGAATGTTTTCAGGACATATCTTTGCAGCCAACCTCACTGCCAACATCTACTATAGTGCATCCTGCTTCCCTCCAAGTCCCTAATGTACTTCTAGCAACCACAGAGGCTAGTGTTGTAATACAGCAAGCTCTCCCATCGCCAACCTCTAGTTCTGTTATAACCCAAGTCCCACCCTCTAATAGGCCTATAGTGTAAGTAGTTATCCTTATCCAGTTCAAAATTGCTTTATGCAGTTTATTTTGATTACAGTACCCCATTCAGCATTATTTTTTTTATTTTGCATTTTTGCTTGTCAGTTTTCTTTCACCTCAGTTTTGCCAGGTTGCATACCTAAAGCATGTTTTAAGTTATTTAATTCAGTTTATTCAATGTAATACTATAAACACAGAAGTAGTTTCTTTCTTATGATATGTCAAAGTACTGAGCAAAACTGGCGTTTCTTATTTTGTGTTCCTTCATTTAATTGTTTGCATCTTTATTGTCACTCAGCTTTCTGCCTAGTTACTATAAAACACAATAACAACAATTATATACTTAATGTGTGTTCTGTACAAAATAATGTTTTTTTTTTCTCTCTCCAGGCCGGTGTCTGGCACGTTTCCCGTGCTGTTACAGCTGCCTAACGGTCAGACAATGCCAGTGGCCATACCTGCATCAATTACAAGCTCAAGTGTACATATCCCAACTGCAATCCCTGTGAGTTAAACATCAGCACCGTTGGTCCACAGACTTTCTCACTGACTATGGTGGCACAAATATTTCCTAGATACATTTTTTTCATACATTTTGTAGGGTTTAATGGCACTTATTGCCTGTATTTCATATTTATGCAGTTTTTTTGACAGTGTAGTTACTTTTTATATGAATGACAATATAAGCAACAAAGTAAGATTTTGTTATGCCAATGTAAAGTCCATGTTCTTCATAGACTGTGGAGGAGAATTTTAGACAATTAGGGGCCACCATAGTCTCTTCTATTTTTACTGGTCCATTAATTACTGGAATTACTGGTTCGTCTATTCACTGTTCTGTTATTTACTGACCACTGGGTCAAACCAGAAGCAAAACAAGTTCAGTTGCTTGAGACTTGGTATTAGTAATTATTAGTGATTAGAATTAATAATTATTCCACTAAAACATATTATGTAGACTCCCAAACACACACAAAATGATTAATGTTTTATGATTAAATAAAATTTGTATCTAACTAGCCTTTTCCAGTCCCATTTCAACCACCCTATTTACAGAAAGTGTTTGTTTTTATTTACCATTTCATTCCTTTTTATTATGAAAACCATCCAACAAAAACAGCGGTTGATTAAATTACTCCAAGCAATGTTCCAACACTGTTTTGTGTAAGGATTTACTAGTTTGGCTCATAAGATCTGGCAGTACATAAACACAAAAAGCATCAGAATGAAATCATAGACATTCAAGTGTATGCGTGTGTGTCAGTGTGCCAAAGACAAGAATTGGCGGATGCTCAGCAGGCTTCTGTCCAGGAACTTACACTCCTATTTGTCCTTGCACAATGAGAATTATCATTCTTGATTTTTGGCACACTGCTCACATTAGACTACTAATGCGCTTGGTGGTGCAATTATAACGGCTGTTTATCACATTGTCTCTTCGGTGAACTTTGCTGAAAATCAAGGTCTTGTTGATGTGTAGTGAACTTTCCCAAGTGGAGGCCTGTCTTATTTGTTCAAAATGGAGAGGATTCTTTCTGTGGAACACTGAGCAGCAGATGATTATCGTCTGATGGCGGCACAGCAGGGAAAAACTTCCGTCTTCCTGGTCTTTTGGGAACGGGATGGGCAGGAGTGGCTGGGGAACATAAGCTCTCTTCATCATCTGTTTATTTTGTCGATACACTATTTTGTGTGTGTTATTGTGAGGGGAGGCCTTGCTTTGGCCTCCTGACTCATGTCTCTCCATCCTGTCTTCAACATCCCTGTCCATATGCTCTCCTGCAGCCAGCCAGAGGTTCATTAGCGTGCATACTGCATCTCCATGTGGCGCTGCCTCCACAAAATAACAGGCCATCCAACCTAATGAGCCTGAGATATGAGGAAGCGCTCAGAACCAGCCGGGGCCGTGTTGCTGGGTGCTTGAGCGCTGCCTGGTTTTTAGTGCAGAAGACTAATTTTGTCTCATCTGTGTCTCTGTTGTCAGCTTGTCAGACCTGTCACCGTAGTGCCTAACGTTCCTGGGATCCCAGGCCCACCCTCGCCACAGCCCACCCAATCAGAAGCCAAGCTGGTAGAGTATTTCTTTCCTGTTTGACTTTGAAATGACATATTATAAAGTTCATATGTTTTTGACCGTTGACTTAGCAGAGACCTGTCATTTTAAATGCCATTTTAGCAACAGTTGCAAATGAAATAGTTTTATCATTCAGACCATCCAATTTTGATAACTGATTATAAATAAGTATAATTAATTATAAATCTATAAATGTAAACAGAGAGGGAGAGATTGGTTCTATATAATGCTTAACGTAATATTTTTAGCTTAGAGTGTGTATATGTGTAAATATAGCATATTGGGACCTATTTTGTCATATTTTATAGTAATAACATGTTAATTATCACATTGCCCAGCCCTGGTGTCACACATCCTATTATTTTGTGTAGAGATGTGGAAGGATTTCTCTTTGAGTTTAATCTGGGACCATAAAAACAAACTTGGAAAGCTGGGTGCTTATGTGCGGTTCTTTACAGGCAGCTGTCAGTAACATTTCATGTATTTAAGATGAGACATGGCCAAGTACTTCTACAAACTACCTTCAACATCCATGTGTCATGGTTATTCAAATGAGAGTTAAGTGAGAGCTGAAGTTTTATAATTGTGGCATAACCATGACTTATTACTACTACCCTTCCCAGTCTGCTTTAGTGGTTTGTAAAATATTAGCCTATAAAAACTGATCTACATTACACTATATATATGAAATACTTCAAGAAAAGGACTAGTCTTATGTTCCTGGTTAATAAACGCGAGGTGCAAGAATATGAAGTGGCTCCAAGTAGGAAGGTGGCATTGTGATGAAGCACTAACCACGAAACATGTAAGTGCTCACAGCATGATACGGCCGCCAAAATTAACAGATAAAGAGAGGTCCAAGGATTGATCCCGAGGAGGAGTGGGGGTGGACTGGTGTGTGAGGTTGTCAGGGATCATGGGGTACCGCGCTGACAAACGTAGAGACAGCGTTCTGCCCAGCACGCCGTCGCCGGGGCCAACCGGAGGGGGGCGACCGACGGGAGCCAGCTGGGGGGCATCCTGGCACACGCTCAGCCCGCCACATTAAGTCAGCCTCACCCTGAGAGGAACCTTTTGTTCAGCAGAATCCTCCCTGACCTGTGCACCCCCCGCCCCAGTCCCCCCACATACAGCTCATCAGCAAACACCTAATGAGCCCGCGTCAAGAAAACAGACCCGCGCTCAACCTGCCCCGCTCCCCGCCCCCACACGCCTCTCAGGGGGCGCAGAGACGGCACTTTACAAGGACTGATGATGTTGCAAAGACCACAATAATGATAATTAACTTGCTGAATTTAGAAGATTATGCTGTTAATTAGTTGCAAAATAAAGATAAGTAATATAGTAGCAGATGGTTGAATAAGACCCATGAGATGGAGGGTTATTACACTGATGAGGTTTCCATGGCAGAGATGAAATATGAATCTGACTGGCTTTTCCCTCTTTCTATGGGCCATTCCCTGAGAATAATATCTTGTTTCTGCCAGAAGAGCTTCTGGAAGGGTATTACACGATAAACTAATTTGGTAGATAGATTGGTCTGGCAAAGGTAGTTGTTAGAATAATGCAGCCCTCTGTTTTCCCATGTAAATGTATTCCCCCGCACTTTGTTATTGCGTCGAAGGGCTCATTCACTTTCACCTTGTTTGCTCACTATTTGATTCTGGAGGAATTGGCTTGTGAATCATGGTCACACACCTACGCTGAAATTGTTTCTGAATGTGGCTGTATGTCGTGGGATCGGCTTCTAGTCAAAATATGTTTAAGTTGCTTTGGTGAGCTTATTTGATGTAAAGACGCAGAACCATAATGTCAATGGTATTAGTTGATATGCCAATGATAATGATTGTCTTCATAAAATGGGTATTATTCAGCGCCAGATAATTGATTTGATGTGACAGATAATTTATTTATAAGTTGCACTTATTGAGAAATAATTAATGTAGGATGGATGTGGATTGTATTCTCATCTTTTCTTTTTTTTTGTGTCCAGAAGTTAAAACCCACAGTAAGCCAGCAGGTCCCTCAGGTAACCAATGGTGATGTTGAGGTGCAGAGTAGTGCTGTGACCCACACGGCTGCCCCGGCTTCCCCTGCCCCAACCCCTGCTCCAGTACCAGCCCCTGCCCCAGCTGCCACTCTGCCCCCAGCTCTGGCCACAAGCGAAGAGCCTTCTGCACACTCCCTGCAGCAGCCAGCCACCTCCACCACCGAGACCCCTGTAAGTCTCTACAACGAGCATTTTATCTTTAAAACCACTCATCAAAATGATTGTCCTGCAACAGTTAGCAATTTACAAATATGTTTCAACCTCAATAGAAACCAATTTTTGCTTCAGAGTAAATGCTTAACATTTAAGAGAGGGAAGCAGATAACTGCTGTATCACATTAGAGTTTTAGCATTACATGTTCTAACAAATTCCTCTCCCACTGTTGACTGCACATTCTTTTTAGATCAGGAGGATTTTCAAGGCTGTATACATGTCTAGTACATATTTGGTGTGTTTGTCCCAGGCTTCTCCAGCACCCCCTGCACCAACCCCCCCCAGCACAGGAGGTCGGCGGCGCAGAACCACCAGTGAAGATCCTGACGAGAAGCGCCGCAAGTTTCTGGAGCGGAACAGGGCTGCAGCGTCCCGCTGTCGGCAGAAGAGGAAGGTTTGGGTCCAGTCTCTGGAGAAAAAGGCGGAGGACCTCAGCTCCATGAACGGACAACTACAGGTGATCTCTAGCTTCACATCCTGCCTTCAGCATGTGTTTAGTGCTCACAGGTGTCCATGTTGTCAATATATATGTACATGTTTAGCGTTGTGTGCCGCGCATCTGAGCACAGACTTCTCCCTTCTGTGGTGATGAAGTCATTAAAGCCCATTAAAGAGCGCTGGTGGTGACAGCAGCAGTGTGTGAGCCCTTTCCATCGATATGTCCCTGTCAATAAAGATGTATCCTCCAGATGTCAGCCGCACACAAGCGTGTCTTCGCTTCTGTCTCTGCAGTTTACTGAATGGCCTCAAAAATCTCCTAGGGAAAGGTGTCTTTTTGAACCTTCATTTCACTGGAAGCAATTAGGATCTGATGCTGACAAGTTCGAAACAGTTCATGTATCTGCTGTCTCTGTTGATAAGTGTGAGCCGGGGGTGCGGCACATCGGTGTTCCAGACAATTAAATGAGATGTGGTGTTTATTTGCTCACTGTCTTATTTTCGATCTTAGTAGGGTAAGTTGTGGAGGGGGAGGAGAGGCAAAAACAGCAGTGGAAGAAGTAATGGGTTCACGTTGTTAATATCAGCTTCAAAAGAAGCACTTGCCGGGGGTGCGCTGGCAGTGATTTAATTTAAATAGAGGGAGGTGAAAGAGAAATGATAGGTGAGTGGAAGGGGTTATAAACAGAACAAACGTTTTGGTAACTACAAAGAAGGGACCAACATGTGGTAGAGAAGAGAGAAGCATTAAAACATTAATCAGCAGTGCAGCTTCAGTAAAGGCCCACGCTGACATGGCCCAGCTGATCAGTGAAAGTGCCTCTAATGATGCACAATTATTTTAACATCATCCTTAACTGGCTTTTTAATGAGGTGTCAGACCAGGCAACTCGCTGGGCTCTATGTGTTCAGTTTCCATTCATTCAAAGATAGAAACAAGAGTCTTGAATTACCATTTTTCCACATATATGTGTACTGAGAGGTGCTAGCATTTTAAGCCAACCTGTGTTTTTTCCTTTCTTTGTTTATAGAGACTATTTTAAAAAGCCCTTTTTATTGGCTGTAAGTGGCAGCCTTCATGGTGGAAGTGAAGCGAATGTGGCGCTGGAAACGTGCACTCCTTCCAGCTGTGTTTAAATCTGTCTTACAATAGCTCAGCCCTGCCAGCAGCAGCAAGGCTAAACAGATGGAATCAAATAAATTGGCTGCTTTTAGACTAATAGATTAAGCTGCCCGTAGTCCTTTAAAGGAGAAGAGAAGGAGCTTAAATCTGCCACGGTGCGTTCGTGGGCCCCCGGCCGCTCTAAATCCAGTTAAAGTCACCTTCAGCGTAATGTGGCTCTCTTTTACGACATGCAGAAATCCTGCGCTCCCTTGGGAGCAGTAACGACACGCAGTGTAAATCTCTGCTGCATCTACAAAGTTGCTCTGACAAATCTGAGCAGCTCACCTCTGACAAATGTGCCGGGCGCTCGTCGGTGAAGGCCTATAATTATTGTGCAGAAAAACATAAATGAGCAAGTGCATCACACACTTCTGTGTTCATTCATTATACTGTTGCCATTCTGGGGTTTTCCACTGGGCAAGTGTTTACCTGCTTACCATATTTACCTCAGCCAAGGAGGGCTACCTTCTCTGTCATCTGTCCATTGGTTAATTTATGTCTTTAGTTAGGATTGGAATAAAGTTTGATGTACATTAGAAACACCTGATGAATTGTTCAGTTTCTTTCCGAGATTCTCTCAAGAAAACAGCAGAAACCTGTAATCTTTGAAAGGCCCAAATATTTTATACATGTAACTTTAATCAATGTGATGTTTGACCACTATAACACAAGGTTGATTGGGCATACATTGTGTCACTTAAGCAACAGATGTTGCAATCATTTTAAATAATCTAACAAAATACTCCACTAAAGAATAGTTAAAAGTGAGCTCCCTGTTTTGATGCTTTCATGTTCAATTCTGTTCCACTTTATTAAGTCCTCTTCTGTGTCTCCTGTCTCCCAAAGAATGAAGTCACCCTGCTGAGAAACGAAGTGGCTCAGCTGAAGCAGCTCCTCCTGGCTCATAAAGATTGCCCTGTAACCGCCATGCAGAAGAAATCTGGCTATCACAGTGAGTAATGCCCCATTATTCTCAGCCCGAGGCACCCAGTCCAACACGTGGAAAATGAGCCACAGCTAACATCTCCAAGCCTTCCTTATGAGCAAGCATGAGCTATTGACATGGTATCCTGACTTTGTGTTGAGAAAGTTTTCACAAGTTAAAATATCTGGTGGTGAATTGAATACAAACTTTGATTAATAGAGGAGGCCACAGGTGTTCACATCCAGAAATGTGTGGCTCAATGTGAAACACGGATAAGCATTTGTTAGAGGAACATTCAGAACATCACGGTCCAGCACAGACTCAAATCTTTAGTGCACACATTTCCATATTTTCAAACAAAACTTGAGGTTATTTATTCAGATGCTTTCCAGTTTGTTCACATTTCTGTTGTCAGCTGCGTGTCTGTCAGTGAGCTCATTTAGAAGTACTCTGCTTCCATTTCTCTATTTGCACATAGGTTTTGTCATGTATTCTGCTCATAACTGAACAAGCAGCATCCCCTTAGCTCTTCTTCTCTGCTCTAAATGCCTGTGCTGACTCGTATTGACAATGATTGCCTCTGAAATGAGTCCATTAAAGCAGGAGGCTTGACAGGACTGCAGAGCGCTCTGGTTGTGGCCACTGCGCTGTTCATTATGCATCCCTTATTGTGAAGCATCCTCTGACACCCGTCATGTGCATTAAGGGACTGATGGTTTCCAGACTGGAGCGGGCTGGGGCCAGTGGCACTTGGTATCAGCTGGGCTTACACAGAGGCTCCAGAAATGGGCCATCTTTCTTCTGTTTGTTCAAGATGTCTTTTTATTGGACTTTCAGGATGACAAAACAAACAGGCCTTATAGACACAAGAGACTGCAAGAAGAGTTTCAAGTTTTATGTTAAGATTTAAAGTGACAGCTTTAATGTTTCTTTTAAATTTTAAGACAGTTATGGTGCATATAAGATACATTAAGATTTACACATTTTGTGGCCAAATTCTGAGGCTAATAAAATATTTAAGTTTATGTATGAATTCATAATTACCAAATGTATGTAGGCCTACTATGGAGGATGCATCCTGCGGTTTTAGGTTTACAGTTCATAAAGAAACAGTCATGGTTAAAAAACATAACAAAACAAACAAAAACAAAAAATCTAATCTTACTAAATACCGTGCCACCCTGAGAATGCCTGGTCTTTTCTGATCTCAGAGGCTCAGTAGCATTGTACTCTAATGTATATGTGACTGTTAGAGAAATTGGCCCATTGCTAAAATTCACTGTGTTTACACTCTGTATATCAGTGTATATAAGTGTGTTCACTATTATGCACTGTCCCCATCAAATAAATAAACATGTATTTATTATTGTTATCACTATTATCAGGCATTTGTGGAATGCCATCAGTTACCCATGTAACACCCACATTTCCCATCAGGCAACAGTGCCCTCCAGACCCTGCTCTACCCTCCGCACTCCTGCCCACGCGTAGCAGCGGCAGGTGCGGGGAAATTACCCAGACTGCCCCGCAAACAAGCCAGGACGTGTTTTGGGTTTGGCTCGCCGATCCGTCCATCTGCTCGCGGCACTACCAGAGAAGGATCTGGCCGCTACAGAAAACCTCCCAAAATTGCCTGTATTATGATGTATCAGCCGGCCAGGGCCTTAATGCCATTAGGAGCGATAATGCACACTTGAACATGGTAAAAACCCACCGGGCGGATTTATTCTGCGCCTGACCTTCTGCGCTGAGAAAAGTTTATAGCTCTTTGACATTCACTGGCACTAAATCAAATGGTCAAAGTCCAGTCAGAAAGGCAGAAGAAAGCCCTCCAATGCGTTTGTGTTGTATTTTAATTGCCGCTCTTGCTCTGGAATGCACAATTTTACTATCCCGAAATCATTAATTACAAAGTGCCAGAACAAGTGACTTCATATCATTAGCAATATTAATTATCATTGTGCTCCTTATTCCTTTATGAAACAGAGCATGAGAGTAGAGAGTTTTTTCCGCCTCCATCAGGATCCAATTAATTCAATGCAACTGCCTAACAGCTGGTGGCATTTCGACTCCAAGTCTTCTCTAGTCTCCAGTGTGAGCATCATTAAAATCAGGTGCTGTAATCATCTGTCGCGGCAGTAGTTGGCAAGGTAACAAAAAACAAATGAGAACGCAGTTAAGGGATGGGGAAACAGTGCCACATGCCCCACAATGTAATGTACCCTTATGATGTGGGTTTAAATTGACATTGGAGCTTTAATTAAAGGAAAAGGGTGGCACAAGTAGCATTATGGGGATTAATGGAACAGTTTGCAGAAACAGCACGCGGAGGAGGCTGCACTACATCTGACGAGGAGGACTTGTTACCAACCTTCCCACTGGCTCCTCTAATGTGTCTAAAGCTGGAGTTAATGGGAGAATACTTGTGCATTAAGTAGTGTGGTTAGAAATATGTATGAACAAAACTGCACAGTGATGTGTACAGTATGGGATTTGTTGCTTTGTTGCATTTAAGCGATTCTAGTTCAGGGAAGCCTAAAATGGTTTTGGCTCTCCAGGGGGTCTAATTTGTCCCACGGAGTGATGCAGAGATTTGTAAGAAGTATTGATTTTTATTCAATTTTGGCACTAAAAAGACTGTCAGGAGTTTAAAATGAGCTCATAACAGTCTATCCCCCTAAAAAGTGCCATACTTAAAGACAATTTAGCCATGAATATCTTTGCAGACCAACTTTTGACCTGAAAAACATGAATAGTTTTGATCCTTGCCCCACTTTTACATGTTCATTTTGGCTCAGCGGGTTTGGGCACCCCTGTATCTAGTTCCCAAATGACAGTTGGAAATAAATTGGAAAAAAGGGTCAACAAAATTGTGGTGTTAGAGCTCCTCAGCTGGGAGGTTATTGGTGTATTGCTCAGCCCAACAAATGTGCATTTTTTTAATCATCCTCTATTTCCACATTTTCAGTGTGGGAGTATTTGGTTTCTTTGACATTTCCAACATAATATTTTACCAATACTCATTTTATGGTGTCTTGATGAGGCAAAACAATAGCTATGAAGAGTTTTGTGTTCAAGCAAAATCAAGATAAGAACCTTTATTTTAACAAAAGCATTTTCACAAAATCATTGTGATATAGTGTTGTGTATCAAGCACTTCTCAGGTATTATGCAAAATGGATTCTTGTAAGCCATGTTATAATGTTACCTCCACAAAAACATACCTGGAGTTGTTCTGTTTCATTTGCACATGTACTCGTTTATTTTTAGTTTTGCTACATCTCCAAAACTCAAAATGTGCTGTTCCAGCTTGTGATGTCATGTAGGGGTAGTTTTCAAATTAACAGCTAACTTTACCTTTTGTTCAGTAGAAACTGGCAATTCCAGGGCTGATGTTATCCAAATTATTCTACTGAAGGTGTATGGAGCTTAAAAGAACTTTTTTTTTTTTGTTTGTTTGTTTGTTTATTTGTTTTTTTTGTTTTTGTTTTTTTTAATTACATAGAAGTAGGTGTGCGTCGTCAGCAGCAGCACATGTCAGGATGAGGGAATCTAAACACAACATATTATACGATAACAATACAATACAATATTAATAAAACAACATTTTAAAACAACGTGCATCCAGGAAGAGAAAAAGATAATAGCAACAGTTTTTATATATAATTTGAGTTCATTTTTAAAACAAGCAAAATTAGGGGAACACGTCTGAATTTTACATTTGTGGATGTAAAATTTGGCAAGACATAATATTAAGTTTACACAGAGTTCTTTTTTATTTTGCAGTAGTACAAAAAATGATAACATCTCTATTTAACAAGACTGGTATTAACAAGACTGTATCCAGTGTTGCATTTCACACCAAAAGGGTTGGGTTGTAGCACAAAAGCAAAAAAGATCAGTGCTTTCAATCTCCTTTTCACAAAAAGTGCGAATGTTTTAGCTTAAAGCACAGTGGAGCATTGTCTGTATCACTGCATGACATCACAAGGTGGTGTATGAGAGAAGAACTGCCTAAATATGCAGTGTGTGAATGAAACGAAACACAACTCCGGTATGTTTTTAACAGCTCAGAAAATCATGTAGTGCAAGCCCTTAAAAAATAATTAACTAATATTGTTTTGGTTTTCTTTTGCTTCTTCATCATCATGTGTGTTGTTTGTTCCACAGTTTTGGAGAAAGAGGAGAGCTGTGAGGAGATGTCTGTCCCCAGCAGCCCTCAGAATGAGGCCATCCAGCATAGCTCTGTGAGCACGTCCAACGGGGTGAGCTCCTCTTCAGCTTCAGCCGCATCTGTGCCCCCCTCCACCTCCTCCAACCAGAGCACAACCGGGAGCTGATCCTTCTCTCTCTCCACTTTCACAAACAGAGGAGGGGATTCTCTCAGCTTTATTTACTCTGTCTCCTACTTTGTTTGGTGCATTTCTTTTAACTTGTACGAAGAAAACAACTGGCACTTTAGGTGTAACAATGGTGATGGAATGTTTTGTATTTGTGACTTATTTAATAATATTATGTATTTATTTATATATTGTATGTTGAGCCTCAAGCTTGGATTTGTGAATTGTTAAGGACTTGACCAAAGCGCCTGGCGGCTCAGTGTTAATTTATTTGCCTGTTTCTTGAATTTATAAGCACCATGTATGATATTATGTCACTTTTTTGTATTTTTTGCGTTATACATTTTGCACATTTTGAGAGATGACGGGTTTACCTTTAGGGTTTAATGGTCCACTACTTCTGTACTGGCAGCTTTTCTTAGTTTTGAATACGGCCACAAATGTAAATGAATCAGATTTGGACACTATTAGTTGTGTGTGGGTGAGAGCAGCTGTAGTTGCGTTGTGCAGTTTGAATGTCTGACCTCCACTTGTACAAAGGTGTGAGGAGGTCCAGGGGTTAGAGAAACGTGTGAACTCATTTACATTACATCTGTAGTCTGATTGTTTCTGGAGCAGTGATTGTAGGGCCTTCTCATTACTCAATCATGGTGATGTGGACTCATGCAGTGCCATTAACGTTTTCTATCAAATCTTTCAGTACATATCACTATTAAGTTGAAGCCTGTTGTTTCAGATGAAGGCTCTGATGAAGGAAATTACCTAATGAGGAAAGACCTGGCTGTAACAGTCTTTCCTGATGTGTGCAGAGCACTTTAGGGCTTAATGCTGTTCTCTTGAGTGCATTTAGGATCATTGTAAATAACATTGTATGTGGTCTTGGTGTTCTGTACCTTAAGGTTAGTCAGGACTGTAGCTGAGCCCAGGTACCACAGGGCTAAATTTCAGTCAATAGATACGCCTTATTGACTGCCTATCTTAAATAAAAGAAGATGTGAACAGGAATCACAGTTTAACCTAAAGAGGATGTATATTAGAATACTACTTCTGCTTGTAGTACCTGCAAGAATTGATTCATCTTTGGAATATGTAGAAGCCAGTCACATCATGGAGTCAGTTTGCCTTTTCTTAGTTTGTATTGCTTACTACTGTGTAGTTTAAAGACAAGATAACACTGTTTTCTTAAGATCATTTTTAAAGTTTGATTGTTATGTGCTATTTGCATGAGATTACAATTCTCTGCGAGAATTACTGTTAATGTCTCTGAAAATATTATTAGACAAGTTCATTCAACTAAGTTAATGAAGGCTTTTTGTTTGACCTCAACTGCTTAAAGGGGTGTGATTCTGTGTTGAAAGTGTACTTGTAATTTGTGGAAGTTCTGTAAAACAAGAATTGATAAGTCGTTGTAATAAACCTTTTAATATCTCTTTAATATTCATTGTTGCCATATTTTTATTAGATTTTCTTGAGATGCAAACTTTGCACATTATTATTTATTTACCTGACCTATAAATACAGCTATAAAATAGCAATCAACATAATTTAAGTGTTATAATGTATTAACCAAACATTAATGTGCATTAGGCCAACAATACTGTTCGGAGGTGAACAGTATTGTTAATAATGCAATACAGTACATATAATAATGCATTACTGCTGTACTTTTAAATGCAACATTATAAATTGAAGAGCCAAACCTTAACATTAATAAATAGCCACTGCACCACTTGACCTCCACAGACACGACTAGGCTAATACATTCAATTATTTAAATTTATATAACTTTTTTTTTTTTTTTTTTTTTTTTTTGCATTATACAGTATTTTGAGGAAAGAATCAAATCAAAAAATAATTTAATACAATCTTTCCCTTTACTCAGTAAAATATATTTAAATTTATTTTTATCACAATTGGCCCAGTTTTTAGGCAAAATGTTGAATAGATTATTATCGGGTTTTGTCCCACAGAAAACACATTATGTGGTGTCTGCTGCCTCCTTGTGGTTGTACCTGCACAAGTTTTATTTCATAACGTTTTACACGAATTGAACTAGATTTCAACGAACGACATATTTTTAACATGTAAAATGTTATTTTATTATTATTTTTTAACTGACCATTAGTAAAAGGTCACAGCTTATATGAAATTTTACTATATTACATCTAAAATATAATATTGAAGTATCTAATAAATTAAATAATAATAATTACGGCGATAAATACAACAAAATATACTTCACTTACATTACTAACAAAAACTCGGAAGGTTTGATGTGTTGACTTAACGCTGCAATCACAGAATGTCAGGACTAAGTCCACGGGCACTGACACAGACTCTCAGACAGGAGGCGCTGTGTCCAAACATTTCTCAAGACAAGAGCGTTATTTATGTAAACTGTGTGCCATAGACTCCATATAAATATTCATTGATGTCAAATTGTTTATTAATGAGTATGAGCAGGGCATTTTCTCGTTTTAAATTATCCTTAGAAATGAAACCAAAATGGAAGTGGAAAAACTGCAAATGAAATATAGTCTGTGTAAGTCAAATATGATGTGATTCCTCCAAATAGTACCTCCAGTGTTTGATAAAGCATCATTTGACTTTCTTGGAGACATTCCCATTTGGGTCCTACATCAGAGAATAGTTTAGTGCCAGCCGCTCACAGTGCAGAACTAGGGCAGCTGATTAGCCACACATCACAGAGAGAGAAATAGAAATGTAGGTCATAGCTCACCAATAACAACTTTAGCGTCTGTTTGTGAATGTAAACTAAATGCGATTCCGGAATACACGTCTTTGAAGTCAGATCCAAAGAGAGGATTAAAAAGAAAATGTCCTTCTCTCTCTTTTCTCTCCTCCTCCTGCAGCACAGTCTTAATTGTGATTGTTTGATTAATGAAATTCCCTCTGGCAAACAGACTGTGTTATTCATTATTCATTCCATAATGATTTTAATGTTCATTTGATGAGGTTTCTGTAATGAATGCATAGAGGTGGTTTTATTTGTTATACAGCAGGAGGGCTCAGAGCTGAAGGAGAGTCCAGCTATAGGTTCAAATCTAGCCCACTGAATGATGGGACAGATGCAGGGGGCTTTAAATACATATGACACATTAGAATACTTACTTTTCTAAAACAAAGCTTTCATGATTTTGCCTCTATTTTGTTTCTCAAGTTTATCATTTTACTCATTTTACTCTCATTAAATAATACCTAGCCTCGCAACCATATAAACAAGGGCAAAACCTGTCTCGTTTACACAATAGTTCAACCAGATAGTCCAGAAAAGCTTTTTGATTTTTTGGGAATATGAATTTTAAGAATATTGAACAAGAGTCATGTAACATTTTGCCGCTTATTCTAGTGTGTAGTGCAGTGTAGTTTAATTTAGGATGAATTATAAATATTTTAGAGTATGGAATTTCAAAGCAAGAAGTGTATTTTTGTCAGTATTTGGGAAATATTATGAATTATTCAAGATTCTTAAAATATAATGTTCGCTACAAAAGACAAGGTCATGTGTTTTCACCTTAGGGCAAATTGAATACACTTTTTTCCATTATTTAATTAAATTTTTTTTTGTACAAACAGGTCTGGGTTTTCCACATAATGTTATAAAGAATGCATGCAGTCTGTCTCTCTCTTTTCCTTACCTCCCGTGATAATGACGGCTCTCCCCTTCCACTCTCTCCTCCCTGTTCTCAGCTCCCCCACACTCTGCAGTTTAATTAGTGCAGGAGTAGGGTCAAACGTCCTCATTTACACTGTGTAACCTCCACAGGCAGCAGGGCCCTTTGTGCACACATACATGTTTAAACTGCACACGTCAGGCCTCCAGCTCCAGTCTGTCCGACAATAGACGGCTCCTTTCCCCTGCAGAGAATCCAGGCATTTACATTGAATACAGATTATGTAAATGCTCTGGTTATGTCCCACACTAAACATATTGTGAGCTCCCTGCAGCAACGATGGGCCCTTTTGTCATTCAAATGTTCCATAGAAAGGCATTTCATTTACAGACTGTGTGTAAGATTTGGGTTTTAAAACACCTAAATGACCAAACTGTTTCTAGATACACTAGATACTAGGAGTGTAACAATATTTAAGTCTCACGATATGATTTTGTCACAGTATGAATCTCACGGTATGATATTTATTGTGATATCGTGGGAAAGCTCTTGATATGATGGGGAAGCTCAAGATTAGGGATGTAACAATATTCAAATCTCTCACGATATTTACGCAATATTTCCACAGTATACATCTCACGGTATGAAACTTATTGTGATATTTTGTGGAGACTTTTTCCTCTTAAAATGCTTTGATTCAACCAAAGAACTAAGACTTAAAAGTGCTGTTATTTCTTCTTGTAGTCTAATGGAGCAAAGGATCATGGTCTGTGTAGTTCCCTCTGCTTTTTTAGCTGTTGCTGCACCATAACTCTTAATTTAAGCAAAGAGACTTGTAATTGGACATATTATGATGATCCACAATATTATTGTGAGAACTTTGACAATACAATATCATGATATTTCGGTTATTGTTACATCCCTACTAGATACACATTAGACATGTTCAAATCAAATATGGCTGCTCCTGATAACACTTGTAATGCTGATTTATTCTTGATTACAAAAACATAATGCCAAAGTTGTTTATGATATCATTTGCTTTTGGTTTAGAAAGCAGAATCAGTCTCACTTGAGTCTCTAATTTGGGTTGCAAGATTCAGTGCTGAAATCAATTGGTTTAAAATCTAAACCATTTAAACTGATCTGAATACAGACTACCTAAACCCCAGCACTTGCAGCCAATCATCAATCAGTGCTAGTGCAGCCTCTGCAGCTCAGTGAGTAAACGTTGGAGGTCTTTCACATGAGCTTTCACATGAGGCATGGTCATAAATACTGAGTGTTGTAAATTCCCCGGTAACTTAGTTCAGTAATAGTTATCTAAGTCTAAATCTGTGTCTGTGTCAGAGGTGGGTTTATCTAATTGTTTCTTTAATTGCTATGTAATGTCCTGATGCTAATTAACTTTATTAACTTGATTAATTTACCTGATTGTTGATGTAAACTGTTTAACTGTTACTCTTAGACTGATTATATGTGTGTGTAACTTCAGTTAGTTATACGTATTAAATATTCCTATAGATTACCAGATAAAAGCATAGTTCAGATAAAAGGATAGTTCAGACAAAATCAAACAAACAGCTAATAAGATTGAAGACAAAAAAATACGTTCCTGTGTCCATTTGTACTCTCTGACCGGAGTATTGTTTGGATGAAGTGTCCAGTACACATTCTACAGTCCTTCTAGAAATCTTCAATACTGAGAATATGTTTTCTGTGCAGGTTAAGACAGGTCCAGTTGTGTTTGTTGTACATTTTTTATAAACTGTATAAGAGCAGGCACACTTAATTACCTGCATTTTCCTGTGTAGCTTCATTTATTATTTTCACCATAGTCATATTGTGTGTGAATCTAATGACAGTGGACTTGTATGTGTGGCTGAGTTCATTCCAGCATTAATCCCATAGGTGAAAGATGGGACACACTGAAGGTTTGGTGAATCTGTCCCCTGGGTCAATGATGCCCTGAGTTTTGTCTGTAGGCGAGACATCCCTCTTGTGTTAGCACTGCTTCACATTAGCATTTAGCTACTCAGCATTAATATATGCGGATGTGAGTCTGTTTCCCCCCCAGCAAATTATATTGGAATCAATATTTAATAACTGTTCACACCATGTCCCTGCTGCAATATGCTGTTTATAGTGTCTCCATAGAGAGGAAGAAGTTTTCTACTGGGAGCTTTCATTGTCAGCGCTGTGGGTCTCAATATAGTCGCAGGAAGACACTATTAGCCTATAGCTGACCATTGTCTTGAAATATGTAGTCGTTTATGCATTCTGAAAGCATAATCACAATAATCGTCATTAAAGGCTAAAGGCAAATCTTATATATCAACTCTATTTTAGCATACTGATTGGTTGTAAGGTGAGTGTAGCTCTAGCAGCCATATACCCTTTTAGAACTTCAGGTATGATGAAAATTGTCCTCAAACTTGATTATTACATTCACACTTACAAAAAATATCAACTATAATATGTTTTAATCACTTGGATGTTCATTTCTAAGTGCATACAAAGTAGAATGTGCAATATGTTTTCCAGGAAATACATAGGGTCGGTCCCTCATTTACCATTCTGTGTGTCTGCCTCTGTAATCATATTCAAATCCTCTTGTTATTTCATGCAGAGCCCTCTCCCACATGAGGGAGTCTGCACAGGCCCTTGTCATTAGCCCAAAATCTGCTTACCCTGTGGTAGATGTGGTGCATATGTAACATTCTGTCTGAGCAGTATTGTTTAGAATGAGTGACCTGTTCAAGTAAAGACATTTCTATTGTTCCACATGATAATATTTATT